AATTACATTGTAGCGTGGAATTTGCTTTGTGAACGCTATAATAATGAAAGACTTCTTGTTCATAATCATGTAAAAGCATTATTTAATTTAGATATTAAAACATGTGAGTCTTCAAAAATATTACGGTTTTTGATAGATTCTATATCAAAACACTTAAAAGCATTAAAGCAATTAAACCAACCCACCGAGCATTGGGATACTTTAATAATTTACGTAGTAACTTCTAAGTTTGATAATAAAACAGCGCGAGAATGGGAAGAATTTAGATCGAAAATGCAATATCCGACAGTGCGAGATTTAAAAACATTTTTAAAATCAAAGGCTGATTTGCTGGAAACAATAGAATCTAAACGCGATACATCTTCAGGAAATACCTCTTCTTTTCATAAAAAACAATCCAGAATATCTCAATCGTTTGTCAATACGGAAAATGTTTCTTCAAGGAACAATAATACAGCTGATCGTTCGGGAAATAACATGACTTGTGCTTTCTGCAAACAAAATCATTATATTCGAAACTGTGCAGAATTTCTTAAACTTTCCCCAGCAGAAAGAAATACGCATGCGAAAAGACTTAGATTATGTATAAATTGTTTACGACCTGGTCACATAAATACGGTTTGCAGACTAAGCAACTGCAGAAAATGTAACGGTAGACACAATACGATATTACATATACAAAATAACGAATACAATAGACGCGAAAATAATACAACGGAGAACTCAAATGTATCTCTAACTTGTTCAAATATTACTCAGGAAAACGTTTTACTTGCCACAGCTTTGGTACAAGTAATTGATAAATTCAATAAATCTCACACCGTACGCGCGTTGCTAGATTCAGGTTCCCAATCTAGTTTTATTTCATCAAATTTATGCGATATACTTAATCTCGAAACAGAAAATATCAATATGGCCGTGGTAGGTCTTAATAGTAGCAAATCCCAGATTAACAAAAAATGCGAAATTTCTGTGGAGTCGCTACATAGTGCATATTCTGTAAAATTATCATGTCTTATTATAAACGAAATTACTGGAATCCAACCAACTACTGTTGTTAATATCAACAGGTTAAATATTCCAAAAAATATAATCCTTGCTGATCCAGATTTCTACAAACCAGGTCCCATAGACTTACTAATTGGAGCAAATTTATTTTGGAAACTGATGCAAATTGGACAAATACGTCTAGGATCAGATCAGCCAGTATTACAAAAAACTTCTTTTGGATGGATAATTTCTGGAAACATTACAGAAAATACGAATGTATCTCACTGCAATCTGTCTTTAAACGGTGATATTCAAAAACAACTAGAGAAATTCTGGTTATTAGAAGAATGCGGTGTAAAACCGGCAATATCCGAAGAAGAAGCGTCATGCGAACAACATTTTATTGAAAATACGAAACGCGATATAGAAACGGGTAGATTCGTAGTATCTATTCCGTTTAAAACGAGTACAGATGAATTAGGCGATTCGGAAGAACAAGCGCGAAGGCGATTTTTATCATTAGAACGAAAACTTAAGCATAATTCAGATTTACGTGAAAAATATGTTGATTTTATGAATGAATACAAAGCGTTAGGTCATATGACCAAAGTAAATAAATTAAATACAAATGCGATTTACTATTACTTGCCACACCATGGAGTACTTCGAGAGGAATCTGTTACTACAAAGCTTCGCGTTGTCTTCGATGCTTCCGCTGCCACATCCACAGGTTTATCACTTAATGACCTACAAATGGTAGGCCCAACAATACAAAGTAGTCTTTTGTCAATACTCTTAAGATTTCGAATTCATGCATTCGTGATAACAGCCGACATCGAGAAAATGTATAGGCAAGTAATGATTAATCCGAAAGAGCGATCGTTGCAACGAATATTTTGGCGTAGTAATCCCAACGAGGAATTAGAAATATACGAATTAAACACGGTTACGTATGGTACTGCTTCAGCGCCTTTTCTAGCAATTCGTTGTATCATGGAGCTAGCCCTAAATTGTGAAAGAAATAGACCAGAGTTATCTCAAATAATTAAAAGCGACATATACGTAGACGATTTAATTACGGGTGCTGATTCTATTCAAGAAGCAGTGAGTTTAGGCTTGGGTATTTCAAACATTTTATCTGAAGGGTGCTTTAAATTGCGAAAATGGCACTCAAATAGCGATACGATACTTAAACTAATAAAGGGCGATGTACCTTCACAGAAAACGGTTCAATTCAGTGAAGATCAAAACACAAAAACATTAGGCCTCGGTTGGTCATGCGATTCTGATTCTTTGACGTTTAAAATTGAACCAAATGCTATAGACGGTCGTGTAACTAAAAGAATCATTCTTTCGGCTGTGGGTCAAATATTTGATCCACTAGGCCTTTTAGCGCCTTGTATTATTAAAACGAAGATTATACTTCAAAGGCTTTGGCTAGAGCGATTAAGTTGGGATGAATCAGTTCCTCAGCCGTTACATGGTGAATGGCTTAAGATCAAATCCGAGATTCCCAAACTTAATTCATTAATTATTCCACGTCACGTAATATTACCAAATGCACAATCAATTCAATTACATGGTTTCTCGGATGCTTCCGAACACGCGTATGGAGCATGCATCTACCTACGTTCTATTACTCGAAATAATCAGGTTTCGGTTAGGCTTCTATGCGCAAAATCTAAAGTAAGTCCGTTGAAAACTATTACGATTCCAAAACTCGAGTTATGCGCAGCTGTTGTTTTAGCCAAATTATTTACAATTGTTAAGGATGCACTTAACAACACAATATTTGAAAGCGTTACCTTATGGACAGATTCCACAATCGTGCTAGGTTGGTTGAAAACGGAACCACACCGATTAAAAACGTTCACCTCTAATAGAGTTGCCGAAGTACAAACTTTAACTAGTTCTTGTGATTGGCGGCATGTTTCCTCAAAGGACAATCCCGCAGATTTAGTGTCGCGCGGTATCAGTCCATATGAGTTGCAAGTATCTAATTTGTGGTGGTCTGGTCCAAGTTGGTTAAACAAATCCGAATGCGATTGGCCTCAAGGGGTAAAGTGTTCAGAGAACTTACCTGAACTAAAGTGTGCCTCAAATACATTATTAATACGTGCGTTGGAACCAGTAGTAGATATACGTCGCTTCTCTTCATTGAGCAAGCTAATTAGAACAGTAGCATTTGTTCTACGATTCATTTCAATTATCTCAAATAAAGATTCTAATTCTAAGCGAACAAATAGTCCTCTTAATACTGAAGAATTAAGAAAGGCGTACAAGCTTCTGCTAAAAATGTCACAAAGCGAGTCATATACAGCAGAGATAAACAACTTATTAAATAAACAAGAAATCAATACTAAAAGCAAAATTCTTAATCTTAATCCTTTTATCGATCAGGAAGGTTTATTAAGAGTTGGTGGTCGTTTAACAAATTCAGATTATTCGTATGACAAGAAACATCCTATTATCGTATCGGCACACCATCCGTTAACAAAATTAATTTTTAAATCAGAACATCTAAAATTGATGCATGCCGGCCCACAACTTTTGCTTAGTTCCTTACGTCAGTCCATTTGGCCGGTATCAGGAAGAAATCTTGCTAAATTAACAGTTAGACAGTGTGTGACTTGCTTCAGATTTAATGCGAGGAACACAAATCCTATTATGGGTAATTTGCCGAAAACTCGATTTGATGCTGGTTATCCATTCAAGGTTTGTGGGGTAGATTATGGCGGACCTTTTATTATTAAAAATCGATACGGTAGGGGCAGTAAAACTTCAAAATGTTATATGGCGCTGTTTGTATGTTTTGCTGTCAAAGCAGTTCATATTGAGCTAGTTTCTGATCTTTCGACAGATACTTTTTTATTAGCACTAAAACGATTTATTAGCAGACGCGGAAAACCTCAACAAATATATTCTGACAACGGTACTAATTTCGTTGGCGCGAATCACGAATTACAAGCGTTAAGTAAGTTCTTGATTTCAAATCAAAATAAAATTTCGGAGTTGTGCTCATCCGAAAATATAAATTGGCACTTTATTCCAGCACATTCTCCGCATTTCGGTGGCCTCTGGGAGGCAGGAATTAAATCAAGTAAAAATCATTTAAAGCGGGTTGTAGGGAATAATATTCTAACATTCGAAGAATTATCAACAGTGTTTGCACAAATCGAGGCGATTTTAAATTCCCGACCCCTCTCACCACTCTCTTCCGATCCTAACGATGAAAATCCATTAACTCCTGCTCACTTTCTCATCGGCCAACCGTTAATCGCAACACCAGAACCCGACATCACCGAGTTACCTACTGGACGACTTTCTCGTTTCCAACTCCTGGAACAAATGCGACAGAACTTCTGGCGACGATGGTCGAAGGAGTACATATCCGAATTACAGCAGAGGGTTAAATGGAAAAAGACGCAGAAAACTTTGTCACAAGGCTCCATGGTACTCGTGAAGGAGGATAATATCAATCCGTTAAAATGGAGACTGGGTCGTGTTCTGGAGTTACATCCTGGAAAAGATGGAATTTGTCGAGTGGCATCGATCCGAACCGCAAATGGTGTCATTCGTCGAGCTTTTCCAAAGATTTGTCCACTACCAATTCAAGATTGAAAGGAAGTCCTTTCAAGGCCGGGGGCATGTTAGAGACTGCGAACATCGGCAACGCAGCTTTCCAACCCGATGTGCCGAGGTCCCGGCTTCTATTCGAGAGGCGAGGAGAGCTTCACCGACCGCCGTGGTGTGAAGACACATATCTAATTCACATTGTAAAATTCAAATAAATAAACGTTATACGAAAGCGTAAATGCGTTTTAATTCGAACAAATGAGAAAATATACAGTCCACTTATTCATATACAGTTTTTAGTGTTTTCCTGCCAATTGTAACGCAAAAAGTCTAATGCTGCAATTACGTTTTACACAGTTTTCGTTGTTCTAGTATTTGAATTCATTTGTACAATTTTATTTTAATTATTTTACTCATTATACAATTTTCTTTAGGTTTCTTATTCTGCCGGTAGTAACAATACGAAACTACCGCCCATTTACATGAAGAGTCTCGACAACGAGCTCATACCGATTCTACACAGGATAACGTCGAGCAATCTGGGCGAAACGGCGATAATCTTAGAACTGATCTTTCGAATTCTAAACGTTTGAGATTATAATAGACAATAAAAGTATCTCCCCATGTATTATAATCTACATAATTGAAATAGATATAAGTATATAATTAACAAGAAAAGTACCTCTTGGCATTAATGATTTACTTGTGGCATGTTAAAGTAATTACTATTTAAACGAGAATAAGCCACAATTAAAGGTGAAAGTAATTTTATTGACGTTTCAATTTCCACTTCGGAAATCCGGAATAACGAGAATATGAGTTTTTGAACGTAATAAATTGAATATAAAATAATTGATGGATTCGACCGTTACTTGATGGAAATTCATTTTATGTAACAATAAAACACTGAAAACTTTGTTTTCAAACTTCCACAAACTTTATTTTAAATCTTATCACTACAGCTGTTTCGGCTAATTGCCTTTCTCAAGTGATCTATTTTTGGCTTGGGTTTGCAAATTTATAGTCTCTAATGAAATAGGTTGAGGAGGGGAGAACTGTTTGTCTCAAGTTGGTCATTCAGAATTATATCTGTGTTTTTTAATTTGTTGATTTCCATAGATTCTAACAAAGATAGCTTAAGGTCTTTATTTTGAATGTGAAGAATTTTAAATTTGTCATTAAAAGAATGATTATGATCTAGAAGGTGAAGTGCGTATGTCGAATCTGTTTTTCTATTCTTGAAAGCCCTTTTATGTTCTGCTATTCGTTTATCAAAGTTTTTACCAGTTTGACCGATGTAAGTTTTTATATATATTTGCCTAGGTTGTTATTTGTTCGAAAAGCTGGTGTTATTCCTTTCTTTTTTATGTGTTTTTCAATTTTTGTTGTTATTTTGCCTGTATATGTAATCGAGCAGAAGGTACTGGGTTTTTTCTCTGGTGGTGGAAATACTAATTTCAGGGCTTTCTTGTGTAGTTTTTGATTTAACATTTTATTGTTTGTTCGTTGTATCCGTTGTTTACTGCTATTTGCTTAATTATATTTAATTCTGTCTCAAAGTTGTATTTTGTCATCGGAATTTCTGTTAATCTATGTAACATACTATGATAAGCTGCCAGTTTATGTTGTGTTGGATGGGATGATGAATTGTGTATAGTCGTGTCAGTATGGGTAGGTTTATGAAATATGGAGAAGTCATGTTTGTTTTGAAGTCTGCTAATTTTTAAATCTAAAAAATGTATGGATTGATTTTGTTCTGTTTCTATTGTAAATTCAATATGACTATGAAGTGAATTAATATAAGATAAAAATTGGTCGAGTTAGTCTGTTAGTTCCTGTGAAACATACCGATTTATATTGGTGGAGATACGTAGACGACGTACTGGTATGTTTCACAGGAACTAACAGGCAACTCGACCAATTTTTATCTTATATTAATTCACTTCATAGTCATATTGAATTTACAATAGAAACGGAACAAAATCAATCCATAAATTTTTTAGATTTAAAAATTAGCAGACTTCAAAACAAACATGACTCCTCCATATTTCATAAACCTACCCATACTGACACGACTATACACAATTCATCATCCCATCCAACACAACATAAACTGGCAGCTTATCATAGCAGTAAACAACGGATACAACGAACAAACAATTAATAAAATGTTAAATCAAAAACTACACCAGAAAGCCCTTAAATTAGTATTTCCACCACCAGAGAAAAAACCCAGTACCTTCTGCTCGATTACATACAGGCAAAATAACAACAAAAATTGCCACACATAAAAAAGAAAGGAATAACACCAGCTTTCCGAACAAATAACAACCTAGGCAAATATATCAAAAATAACAAGAGCAAAAATAAAAAACACTTAAACAGTGGTGTGTACAAATTTCAATGTGGCGACTGCCCAAAAACTTACATCGGCCAAACTGGTAGAAACTTTGATAAACGAATAGCAGAACATAAAAGGGCTTTCAAGAATAGAAAAACAGATTCGACATACGCACTTCACCTTCTAGATCATAATCATTCTTTTAATGACAAATTTAAAATTCTTCACATTCAAAATAAAGACCTTAAGCTATCTTTGTTAGAATCTATGGAAATCAACAAATTAAAAAACACAGATATAATTCTGAATGACCAACGTGAGACAAACAGTTCTCCCCTCCTCAACCTATTTCATTAGAGACTATAAATTTGTAAACCCAAGCCAAAAATAGATCACTTGAGAAAGGCAATCAGCTGAAACAGCTGTAGTGATAAGATCGAGAATATGAATTTTTGAACGTAATAAATTGAATATAAAATGTTTAGTATGTACCTAACCAAGTTCTATTGCCTTACAAAGTTTTTATGAGTACTATATTACATTAACTGAAACACCGTTTACATTATATTATAATAATAAAAGCCAAAAAATTGTTTAAATTTATAAACAGTCCGTGTTTTATAGTTATTTTGACAAAGATAGAGGTACTTTTCTTGCTGAACAACTTTCTATAGTGTTTAGACTTCAGTTTTTTTTAAACAGTCAAGATAGAGACAGGTTATGGTAAAATATTTTTATAGTTGAGTAGCTCGATATAACTTATCAGGTTTTTATTAAAAAGTTTTAAAAGTTGCCACAAAAGTTGTTGAAAAAATGGTGGTTGTTTCGTAATCTTTGAGAATATAGGTGGGGTATGGCTGCTAGTGGTACTATTAGGTATATTAAATAAATCAGGGAGATTATCAATATAAAAAGATTGTTTAATATGTCAAAAATATTTGTCCTTTACTGACTGCATGAATTACTTTATTGAACAAATAATCCTTTGTTATGACTTTGTTGAAACATTTACAGGGTGCATATTTTCGTTCTTCTTCTTCTTCAGATGCAAATCCACTAATGGATGTTAGCGATCACATTTTCCATTAACTCTCTATTTCTTGCAATATGTATCAGAGATTGTATGTCGTTAATCCCTGTCCATTGCCTTATGTTTCGGAGCCAGGACATTTTCTTGCGTCCCATTCCTCTCTTGCCTTCAATTTTACCCTCGATTATAAGTTGGAGGAACTGGTATTTTTCATTTCGCATGATGTGACCTAGATACGCCGTTTTCCTTTTCTTGATGGTTTCGAAAAGTTGGCGTTCTTGGTTTATTCTTTTAAGGACATCTATATTTGTGATTTTCGCTGTCCATGGTATTTTTAGGATACGGCGATAAAGCCACATTTCGAAAGCTTGAAATCTGTTTATATCCCTCGTTTTGAGTGTCCAGCCCTCTACGCCATATAGCAGCACTGACCATACGTAGCACTTAGTAAACCTTAGTCTCAGTTGAAGATCGAAATCAGAATAAGTCAGTACCTTCTTGAATTTTACGAAAGCTTGTCGAGCTTGCTCAATGCGACATTTTACTTCCCTGTCCGATGCCCAGTCTTCAAAAAGCCACGATCCCAGGTATTTAAATTTACTCACTCTTTCTATGGATTTACTATTCAGTGTTATGGTGGAGTTTTCAAATGCATCCAAGTTTCTGGAGATGATCATGAATTTGGTCTTTTTGGTATTAATCTCTAGTCCCATTCGCTCACTGTATTCTCCGATTATAGTGACAAGTTGTTGAAGATCGACTATGTTGTCACAAATTAAGACACCATCATCAGCATATCGTATGTTGTTGATCAATACTCCATTCACCTTGATTCCCATCTCTGCATCCTCCAAAGACTCTTGAAATATGGCTTCTGAATAAATGTTAAATAAAAGAGGGGAAAGCACACATCCCTGTCGAACGCCTCTTCTTATATGTATGGGCTTAGATATAGAATTGTCTATTTTTAGCTGTGCCGTTTGATGCCAGTACAAGTTTTCAATGCATCTTATGTCTTTTTGGTCTATATCAACTTTCTTGAGAATCTGCATTAACTTGTGGTGTTGGACACGATCAAACGCTTTTTTGTAATCTAAATCGTTTGTTACTTTGGAACTCTCCAAATATTTCGTTTCCACCTCTATGTTTTAATAGTTCATCCGATAATTATCAGTTTCTTCCTTGTGTCCCCCTCCTGCATTGTAAAATCTTCAATTAGTGGAGAGAACTTTCATTACAGAAGAATACACAAAAGAGGGTGTGCTTTTCGAAAAACAAATCGACAAATGGGGCTTTTTGAATGTCGGTGTAAATATTAGGAGGCGAATTTCTAATAACGTGCTTGTCTAGATGCATGAAAAAAGCACGAAATAATACCGTATGAATGCCCTTTACTGCACACTTATGCCACAGAATAATAAACAATCAGAATACCCACTCTGCTTGAAAAAATAAGTACGCGCATCTCGTTCGCGCAGACGGAATCAGCCATGTTCTAGTCGGAATCAGTGCTGTTCAGTGACATTTTATCTGGTGTGCATAGACAAATTAACCCGGTTTAATTTATTTACAGCAACTACAGATAATATGCACTATTTTATTCGTACTTTTAGTTGAAGAATTTTTTTTTTAACCTATTCTCTATCCTTCCATTGTTGGATATAGGTCTCCCCCAGTTCTCTCCATCTTTCCCTATCTTGAGCTGTTCTCTGTCACGTGGGACCTCCTTGTTTCCTGATGTCATCTTTCCACCTCATTTGTGGTCTGCCTCTTGATCTCTTTGCATTGTAGACGCCACTTTCCGATGGCATTGTTCCATCGTCCGTCTTGGAGACGTTCATTGTGTCCAGCCCATTTCCATTTCAGTTTTGCTGCTTGTTCTATCGCGTCTACTGTCTTTGTTCTGGTTCTGATCCACTGGTTACGTTTTCTATCTCTAAGTGATACACCCAACATTTGTCTCTCCATCGCTCTTTGTGCCTTCCTTATCCTATCCAAATTGGCCTGTGTAAATGTCCATGTCTGTGCTCCGTAGGTGAGCACCGGTATTATACAGGAGTTATATACTTTGCTTGGCTAAAACATGGCGTTCGCGTGCTGACAAACTTCAAAGGCGGCATCGGAGAGTGGGCATTCTGTTATTTATTCTGTGCCTATGCTGTTTTTTGGGAGTAGTAATGTTTGATTTAATAGATACACCAATCCTGTTTGTGAAAAAACATTTTCTGAAGTACCACTAGAGTTATACAACCACTC